GTGGGCGAACGCGATAAATCTCTGCCCTTGGCCGACGGTGGTGTCCCAGGCGTCTCTGGCGAGCCGCGAGGAAATTACGGAGAAAGCACGCGGTAATGCAGACATTTCCGTCGCCCGGCGGAACCGGAACGCCCGTATTTTTCGCCCCGGAGAAACGAGAAACCCGGGGGCTGGATTGCGCGCGCCACGATGGTCTTGTAATAGACGCGAGAGACGGGATCCTGGGGAGCAGTTTTCGCCGGTGGCTTCGCCTTTCGCCGGGGCAATTTCGCGGCCGGCGAAAACTGCACGGCCCTCGTCAGACAGCCGGCCGACCCGCGTCGATATTTTCTTTCCTCCTTGTATAGGCGTTTGTCGTTTTCTTTCTTTTTTCTTTTTTTTTTTTTTTTAATCTTCTTTGGTCTTCCCTGCTTGTCTACAGCGAGCTAGATTGCAGCTTTCTTTCTTGGGGCTTTCCCTTAGAGATCTTTCCTTTGTTTCCTCTTGCATTGATTTTCGTCCTTTGGAACGTGGCACGTCGATTGATTGTGTAACTTGCGAAGTACGAGTCAATGAGGAATTATTGACTAGAAGCAAATTTGGGAAACCTGACGGAATCTTGCTATGAACAAATCTGTCGCACAACCTGTTTCGTTCCTTCACTTGGTCAAGAGTTTTTTTTTTTTTTTATCTTTATCTGTGTCTTTCTGCTTTTGCTGAAAGGTGTTGATAATTATCGAGAAAACCAAAAGGTATGAAATTTTTTACTGAAGCATTCAAAAAAAATCTGACTACGATACTATCGATTCAATGCCAATCACAACTTTCGCAACAAGAATAATTATACGTAATAAGAACAAGGTTATAAATAATTGTTTCTTCTATCTATTGTAAATAGGGATTCGTATCTGGTCGCATCTGCGTTGAAACTCGAATCAACGAAAAGAGGCGAATTTGTGATAATTAGTAGGTAATACGTAATTATCTATCGGTCTTTATCGGTTCAAATCATGACAAATGTACACTATCGATTGTCTGCGAGCTTGCACGTGTGTTCGAAAAATGTCTCTTCCGGCTTCTTCCCCTTCGTGTCGACGACACGTATTTCGCACGTCGAGAAAACTGCTAGGATTTCGCCGATCATGATTCGTGAGAAACGCGCAGCGTGAAAGAAATTTCGAAAATCGAGAAGTTTGAAAATTAAGGTTGAAATTTATTAATAGGAAGAACCATTCTTGGAATGAGTTTTATATAAAAATACATTCATTTTAATATATACAGTAATACATTAAATTGCATCGAACGTAGAGCGACAAAAAGACATAGAAACTAGTATTAGTTACTCTTAGTGTCGATCAAAGAAATTGTATTTGAGCGAAAAAAAAAATATTGAGCCAAGTAGTTTCGTAAGGACATAAAAATTCTGTAAACAATGATAATTACGAAATTCAGAAAAGGAACGTGTTAAGAATAAACTTACATAGCCACGACATCCCCTCTCGTAAACAGTTTAAATTTCTCCACTTCCTGTTAAAAAATCGAAAGTCCATCTTTATCGAGATTCACGGGTCAAATCGCGTTTTCGTTCTAGCGAGTTACGTCGTTTCGTGGCTCGTGCAGAGAAAGCGTTGACAGTATTGACAGAGACGGTGAGAAATTGGAAAAGAAACAGTTCAGCAGAATGTGACACCTTCGAGTTAAATATCCCGCGGTACCGAGTCGTGTTCGAGATCGGAGAAAAATCAACGAGTTTGGAGCGCGTTTCGCCTTGACCCACGAGAAGCTGCCAGCTTCGCCCTAGTTTGTTTTTTTTCTTTTCTCTTCTTCTCCCGTTTCTTTCGTTCGACTTTCCCGTTCAACGATTAACGCGAACAATCGCGAGCTTTGGAAGTCACTTGATTTCCTCGTACTTCGTTTTCTCGATTAGCGCGATTTCCTTAGCTGTTGACAAACATGTACAATCATTCAAACGACATTTTGACGAAGAGGAACTATTTACTCGCTTTATCGTCGTTACGTGTAAAATTGAGAAAGACGAAAAATCGAGTAATAGTTTTGATAATTGATAGGAGAAGTGAAACCTGGTAGGGAATAATTTCAACAAGCGAAACACGACAGTTGACAAATTTTTCAGGGTTTTCTTCACGCGATAACGGATCTCGATTGCTTAACATCGAGCGACTTTATTTTAACGAGCACATTCTTCAAATTCTTCTGACTCTAATTTTCAACCATATGCCAATTTTTTCTATTTACCAAACGAATCACATGTTTGATGGTACACACATAGATGGTTAAAATGATGTTTTTGTTAGAATTTCATTCAAATCCATTACGTATCTTTAAACGTACATTTATCGATGCACTTGCTCACCCATGTTGCTCGTTTCGTTGTCAGTCGCACGTTTTTTTTTTTTTTTTCTTTGCTAATTCTCTAAACGACTAAACCTACGACTAAACTGATCGGCATTTCCTATTTCTCGTTTCAGCAGCAAAAATTCGTGAAGAGGACGGCCGAGGAGTTGGAGCCAGCCGGCGGTGGTAGCGGAGACGGCGGCTTCGGCGAGCCCCCGGTGAAGCTGCAATGCACCCAGGCACAGCATCAGCACCAGCAAGGTCCCGGTGGCGGCGGCGGAGGCGGGCCACATCACGGTCCCCACGGTCAACACCCTGGCGCTGGAAACGGCGCCAACTCTACGGGTCCGACGCACGGCACTGGTGGGGGAGGCGGTGGCGGCGGCGGCAACGAGGGACTGACCAAGTTCTCCGTGGAGATCGTGCAACAACTGGAGTTCACCACGTCCGCGGCCAACTCGCAGGCCCAACAGATCTCCACGAACGTGACCGTCAAGGCGTTGACGAACGCCTCGGTGAAGAGCGACCTGCTGAATGCGTCGTCGTCGCCGAAATCGGGCCCGGACACGCCAGCGTCCGCGACGTCGCGACCGCAGACGGGGAACGGTGCCGGTGGCGGGCCAGGCGCCGGTACGGCCGGTACCGGGCCACCGGCACCCGGTGGGATCGGTTGCGTGGACATAGGTAACCTGGTCGAGTGCAAGCAAGAGCCGGACAATGAGTTCGTCGACTTGGAACAGTGCGCCGCGGCGCTGGAGAAAGACGCGGCGGCGAACGGCGCCGGTTTCCCGGGTTTCTCCGACTTTATGGGCGACGACACCGGCGACGAGATCATCACGTCGGACGCGTTCAAGGATCTCATCTCGGAGATCTCCGACCTGCATCCGGAATTCATGAAGGACTTTGACTTCGAGGAGAAGATCCCGGTAGAGGCGTTGGCGAACAACGCGGCTGTGGTCGCGGCAGCTGCCGCCGCGGCCAACAACAACAACAGCAACAATAACAGCAACAATAATAACAGCATCGGGACGAACAACGGCCAGATCAAGATCGAGGACGACAAGGACTCGATGCATGGACAGCAGCACGGCAGTGTGAACAACAACAGCGTGAACAACGGTACCGCGACGAACAACGGGAACGCCAACGTGCCGGCCAATTCGAGTCCCGGAGGTCTCGCTTCCGCGCAGTACTCCCCCGCTAGACTACCGTATTCCAGCCTGGACTTCAAGTCCGAGATGAGTCCCGCTGCTCAGACGCTGAAGCAAATGGCGGAGCAACATCAGCACAAGAGTCAACAGTTGAGTCTCGGTGGATTTAACCCTGGCGCGGCGGCGGCAGCCGCTGCCAGAGGCTCCACCGCCAGGTCTCCCTACGCCGAATTCCCCCAGTTTGGCGGCACGTCCGACTATCTCGGCAGCCCTGGCAGCACCGGCCCACCTGGTGCACAGTCTCAGGCGACCACCGGCACTGGATCGTATCACAAGAACAACGGCACGGCCGGATTCCAGAGCCAACAGACGAACGACATGTTCGTCGGCTCGCAAACTCAGTTCGCCGCCGGCCTGGCGGATATGAAGAGACCGCAGCCAGCCACCGGCGGCAAGCCGGCCATGCTTGGACCAAGCGGAGGATACAAGCAACAGTACTCGCCGTACGGTAGCCCGGGATCGATGCCGAATCACGGCAGTCCAGGGTATCCACTGCCACCGAGAGGCTCCCAGGGCGCCGGACCCAATCAAACTGGATCCCAGGGACCGTTCACTAGCTCCACGCCGCCCAGGCCTCCCTCGGGACCCGGCACGTCCACTCTGCAAATTAACCAGGCGCAGCAGCTACACATCAACAACCCCGGTCATCAGATCCAGGTTAGTGTGATCCTTTCCTCTTTCTTTTTCTTTACTTACCGTACGTTCAGTTCTTTTACATATATCTGCGGATCTGTTAGGACCAAGGGTACGTATGTATCATTTGTGACATGGAGGTGCTAAGCGTGGCAACGTTCAAACTATCTTTGTATTTAGATTAGACAAGGCCAATTTGAAGTGCGAGAAGAGACACAGCACAGGGATCGCCATGTCATAAATACGTACTCGAAGGGAAAATTTAAGAATTTCTAGCACACTGCTGATTGCATTCCAACACATCCCTTGCTTTCCAATTCTTCCTTGAGTCCCTCGGAAGCGGGTGACCCAAGGAAGATTACAAGGGAGATTAGCCACTTTGTACAACATTCTTGCCGAAGCAAGAATTGCATTGGAGCCACCAGGCCATAGTCGATAGTCGATAAATTAGTCCAGTCAAGAAATTAGTTTCATTTTCGTTCGTGCCCAAGGCAAATACACAAAGGTGCAAGAACGGCAACAGTCGTGATTGACCTTAACAACGGGAATGAAATCAAATATATTATTTTGCGTTGCGTGGAGAAACCTTGGGTTCAGCAAGAATTTCATCAAACGTTGATGAGAAAAGAAAGAGAAAGCCAGAGTGATAGGGGAAGAAGTACGGCGCGCGCGAGGCCGAATGATATCTGTTGCGTCGCGACGACACGTCTATTTTTGTCGAGCGGCATGACGAGTGGACGTCGGTGGTGGCCACAACGCTGGTGGTGGTAGCGACGTCGTCGTCGGTGGCATCGGTGGCGTCGCCAGCGAACGGGCGTACTATCTGCACCAGCGGTAATAGTAGTCGTAGTAGTAGTAGTAGTAGTAGGAGTGTAGTACCGGTAGTAGTAGTGGTCGAGAAAACGAAGGGGTATGTTGGCGTCACGAGGGCGCCACGACGCGCAACAAGTAGTCTACCCCCTCCAACCCGCTCTTTATAAATTTTCTCTCTTGCTATTTGCCCCTACCTTCGCTCAGACAGCGTGGAGAGGGTTGCGTAGCCGTGCGCAGCCGGCGTCGCGACGCCACCACCGTCTGCTCGGTTTAACCTGCGCCTGCAATCCGCGTCAATACACTTCGAACGGTAGTCGCGAAGCTGCACTCGCTACAACCTACACGCGACCAGCCAGCTCGCATCCTCGCCCGTTCCGGCGACCATTCTTCTTACTCTTTCGAGCTCTCGAAACATCCGAAATTTCCCCTCTTCGTTTCAGTCAACTATTAAATACCTATTGAAATCCTGTTTGAATTTCATTGCAACTTCCCTTCGGATTAATTGCACACGTTTGATATTTTAATTCTTCATCGAGCAATGAATAAGTAACGAGATCGAAAACTTCGCCGGCGTTAAATGCGAAGTATAATCTAATCTAGTTGAGAAACATTTGTAGAGTTGTAAAGTATTCTTACACGAGAAAAAGTAGTAAATCTTACACTCTGCAATTCTACTCTCATTCGCTTAAACCAATCTATTCTCACTTTTATCGCCTTTTCTGTATAACCTGGTCCTAGATCTTCTTTACGCGCTGATAGATTTATTTATCAAGTATCGCTAACGTAAATAGATTTCTCTGCCGTAACAAAATCCAATGTTTTTACAAATATGGTAAAATTCTGTCCTCTTCTTTACGGAAATTCAGATCGATTCAACTCTCGACAGTTCCAGATGTAATCCCACGATGAAAGCAGCATAAAATCTTAGCTTTAAACAATTTGAACTCTGCCGCTAAGAAGCTTTCTAAGCTTTCCGTCTTCTCTTTCAAAAAAATCAGTGACTAACGCAACGTTTCGAATTAATCAAATCGAGTCTCAATGAAACGCGGTCGCACACATCGTCGAACATTCGAAAAGACACGTTTGCCGCAGCTAGGGAATCGCCGCGCTTATCTGAAACCGCTGTTCGTAGAAAATTCTGGTTTCATTGCGAATGTGTGTGTGTATGTGTGTTTCGAGGAGATCTTATCTATACGTCGCTCGAACATCTTCGAACGTTCTCTCTCGGTTCGAATCGCGCATGGACGCGTCTGTCGCTCGTAAATCACGCTGCGTGAATTTGCATCTCAATGCGTTTAGGCGAGTGACGCGACGCCTCCTCTATCGCCGCTTCTTCGTTTTCACCTTCTGCGTTTTTTCCCTCCACTCGCCGCTGCGGCTTTTTATTACTGTCACGATACACTTTCGTCCTCTGACTGCGTCGTGGCCTTTTCTTTTTTCTCTGTCTTCTCTCCTACGTTTTCGTGAAAAATTCGTTGTTATCGGGGGGGGGGGGGGG